AAGATAACTAACAATAACTGATGCTGTCAAGGATATGGTCAAAAGAGACCACTACTGCACTGTTGCTGAGGAATGTACATTTGTTTAACAACTCTGGGAAGCAGTATGGAGGTTCCTCAAAAGTCTAAACACAGAGCTCCCCTCTAAAACAGCAATCAGTGGCATTTACCCAAATGACCACAAACAAGGCTGCATTAAGCTACCAGCACAACCATGTTCATTGCAGCATTATTTAATCACAGGTAATATATGAAGTCTCTGAAAATTTTATCTCCAATTTACCAAAAAGTCATGTGGGGCTGTGTCTCAAATGGCAGAATAGCCTTCAGTCAAAAAGGTAAAGAACAATGTGCAAGCCCTGAGTTCAAGCTCTAGGGCTGGCACCAAAGAAAAGAAAAAGCTTCTAAGTCATTTCACAGTAATATACAATGCAATATACATCAAAGCAAACTTGTTTCTTTCCCCCATTTGCTTACATCTCTGGATCTAACCAGATATATTTATATAGGACTATGGGAAATATTCTATATCTACATTAACATTGATTCATAATGGAGTTCACATGAAACCATGTTATCATGTTTTCATTTCTATAAAATGTTTTAATATATCATTTCCAAATTCAAGGGAGTTATGATAAAAATTTGCATAAAATTATTATCTTGACAATATAAATTCCTTGATGTGAAAGTTAATTTTTTTCTGAATAGCTGAATTCCCAATGTTTTACATAATCTATTTCCTCTATCGCCTGTAAATTACAGAGTTAATTTGGAAATATGGTACATAATATTAAGAGAGACTTAACAGTTTTCTTAGAAGTAAAGAAAAATATAGAAAAATTGCAGTAATCACAGTAATGAGGGAGAATTTTATGCTCTATGTACTAGAAAATGATTTCATTTAAACTATAGGAAGAAATCTTAAGTCATGTTCTTTGATAATGCCATAACAAATAGCAGAAACAGAAAGAAGTTACTTTTTGCATTTCTGAGCATCACTGCTTCCTTTTAAGTGAGGAATTCAGCAACATGAATTCTAATTTCCTGAAGCTGACAGAATTCCTTCTTTCTCAACTGTGTATTTGTTGTTGCTGTTGCTTAATAAATTAAATTGGTAACAATTATTTTCACTCTACACTCATCAAACACATTCCAGGGAACTGTAGGCAGAGAAAAGGATGAAAGCATATAACATTCTTCATTGATGCACACAAAATCTCTGCAATGCATCTAGGAGAAAATCCTAAATGTTTTATCCGGTTATTCCATAAATACAGAAAAGAGAACACAGTAATATCATTCATTTGTTTATTCTGATGAAACATTTCTAAGTCAAATTAAATTATAAGGTCAGTGTAGCCAAAAGTCTATGGTAAAATCGTAAATAGACTATTTTAGTTTTTAGTTTAAAGTATACTTTATGGTCTCCTGTCTCCTAGGTATAATTTTTATATCTGCTCCCTTTTATTGTTAAATCATACAATATAAACAAGGACACATAAAAGTGTTCTGGAATATACCAGTTTCCTTTTTCCATAAAATAAAATGTTGGAGAAGCTAAACAAGTCACCTATGATGCATTTATGGAACAAAATGTCTAAGTGAGCAAAAACATAACAATTGAAAGGTTGATAATAGGTGAAGTATCTTATGCATATAGACAACTGTTCCAGATTATTATGATTAAGACTCAAAACACTGTGTAATTGCAACTGCACATGCATGATATGTTCTACTGCCAAATATAGGAATAACGCCTTCAATTCTTCTTTTGGCCTCTAACATGTTTACACTAAATTATGCCTTCTAATCTAAGAATTCTACTTTTACAATATTGCTTTTTATTGAATAGTTGTTATTTTCAAATTTCTACTGTCAGTAATTTGGAAATTAAATGCTCTCAAATTTAAGAATTCACATCAAACAAAAATACATTTCAAATATACAGCTTTAAAAACGTTGACTTAATATATTAAATGCACAAATTTGTATTAGCCAAAACATTGCTTACAAGGTCAAATGCAGAAAGTGACTTTCAAATATGCTGATTAAGAACTAGCATATGTAAAGAACCACTAGTAAAATAACTAATAAAATAAAATGAAGCCAACAAGTAAACTATATTTTCTCAAAATAAGAAAAGATTGTCATTTCACTCAGAATAAAGAAATGCAACTTAAAAGTACACAATGATACCATCATGTTTCTAAACTTGAACTTTCCCCAACAAATCTACCAGTATACTATGGAAATGGCCCCTTGTCCTTATTATTGATGAAAGTGTAAAATACTGCAATATCTATGGGAGGGGAGTCTAGGGATTTCTACTAAAATTCCAGATATTTATCTGTGGATCAGAAGCTTATTTTGGAGCAATATATCTGTATACATGATAAACACAGTGCACAAGTTTTTCTTTCCAACATTACATCAATTTTAACTTCAGGAGAAGGATAGGTACATCTCTGAAGATAGGAAAGATGGCCCAAACCTTTCTTTTCAATGAAGGCACTGATTGACTACAGATCATTTGTTTTAATCAATTCAAATATTTGTCACGACCATTGATATGGCTATCCATCTTCATAGCTATGGTGCTTTTTCTGCATTTAATCTTTACTAAGAAGTGGGATAGAGGTGACATAGATCAAGATGCACTATGCACATAAAATTCTTTGTTAAATTACAAAAATTAAAAAATTGATACATAAACTGAAATTAAGATGAGTAAAGGAAGGGGTGGGTTGGGAGGGTGTGAGAATGTTGGGAAGGGTGATATTTATCAGGATGATCTCTATTCATAAACTGCTCTGGTGAATTGCAACTCATTTGCAGAACTACTTAAAGACAATAAATAAAATCAATAAATAAAAGAAATGAGGTAGAATCCAAGTGTTTAAAGATGAAAGTGTCAGCCTGGTGCCTGGAGCAAATGCCTAACATCCTGGCTCTTAAGGAGAGTGAGATCTGAGATTGAGGTTCAAAACCAATTAAGGCAAAAAACAATTCCATAAGAAGTTTATGTCCAATTAATTAGCTACTATAAAGCCAGAAGTGGAGCTGTTGCTCAAGTGATAGAGTTCTACCCTTGAGCAAAAAATGTTCATACCCAGGACCTGAATTTAAGCCGCAGGTCTGGTACACAAACACACAAAAAAGGTAAGCACTCAGAACCTGTTTCTGAGATAATTATTATACTTATTCTGGGAATAAGTATTCCATGTATGATCAGTGCTGAATATTTTTAGGATTGTGGGCTTTGCAAATCCTTAGTTCTGTCACTGTGGCATGAAAAATAGTCATAGGAAAATTATAAGTAAGTGACTATACTTTTACTTAAAAATGCAAATTATATTTATTGGTATTTCAGTTTTATAGACAATCCCGTTGTCTAGAAGGGGACCCTTTATTTGCAATACTGATGGACTTTAGTATTATAAACAAGGGCCAGAGAGGAAGCAGTTCTCAACCACAAGCTCATTTTCACCCAAATACCAAGAAAGTGAATTGTATGAAAATTCTGATTAAGTTTTTATCTTTAGTTAAAATAGGTATGTTTATAGGAGATAGGAAGTTTTCTGAATTTTTTTCTATTTCTCATATTTTTTAATTTACTGAGTTAAATTAAAATGAAAATAAATATGTGCAATTAAATATTTTAATCAAATAGTTTTGGTTTATCTCCAAAGAACCATTATCTTTGTTAGTTTTTTTTCATTTTATTTGTTTTTCCTTTTCAAGAATTAACATGATTACAGTGAAGGATTCTGAAGTTCAAAACCAAATAATTTTCTAGTCAATCCCTTTAACTTTAATTTCTTTGTTTTTACATATTGAATGGAACACATTACAGAGGAAAGGGTGTACAGTAAAGGTGAGTCCTTTTTCTCATCCCTGTAGGCAAACAAAAGAGAAACACAGACCTTTGACTGTGTTCTCTAATTTGGACTGCAAGGCTTCTGTCTTGTGTGGGAAGTGTGGCTGCTGCCCAGCTCCTTGCTGGACCGGAGCTGGACAGATGGCTTGTGCCTGGCTCTGCCTACATACTAGGGAAACACTGTGCTTGGATGGATAGAATACTTCTCTCATTTTTTCCTTTCTTTTTTAGTAATGGCAATAAAATGAAAATAAACAATGAGGGAGATGGAAGCCACGGAGGCTGCAGTCATAGTGATTTCATTGCAAGGCTCAATGTTTTTCCCATAAGTATGAAGCAAATCTACAGTTCAGCTGCTTCCAAGACCATTAATTAAACAGAATGGAGTGGAACCATGTTAGAAAAGAAGCTCTCTTCAAGAGCTGAGAGGACACAAGGGTCAGCCATCCCACTGGATTTCCTTAAGATAAGCTCTACCATTCTCTTTTCCTGTTTGGATAGTTAAGAAAAAGGCAACTGATCTGAAATTATTGATCACTTATCAAATCTTTCCTTTTGAGAGGTTGTCAAGATATATAAGTCTGATGTAGATTGCCACTACATTTATAACAAGACAGCAATTATTTTGTGGAAATTAATTCTGAGATTGGAAAAATATCCATGTGTTTTAAAAGCTGATTTGCAAACACACCTCTCATTGATTGATAGATAGATAGATAGATAGATAGATAGATAGATAGATAGATAGATAGATTTGATGATATAGATGATATGGATACTGATTTTATAGATATAGATGTATATATGTATATTTGTATGCATATAATGACATCATAGATTTTTTTTACCTCAATTTGGACCACCAAGAAATTGAATGTCATAAACAGTAATATGAGAGTGGACATTCAAATGTACCTCCAAGATAATACAGATAAAATGGTATGACATCATGTATGCCCCATAGTCTTCCTAGTCTATAAAGAGAAAATGGCACTATGTTGCTAAAAGAAATCAGTTCATTGCATTCCAACTTCAACCACATCCTATATAACATCTCAAGAGAGGGTATCCAAGCAAATGGAACCAAATGGAAACAAAATTACACAGAGAGACAAACTTACCTTTCCAACATATTGAGGATCTGGTCCCATATGTTCTTCTAAAACAAAGAACTGATTCCAAACCCATCCCCTCTTGGGACGATGGTGGACTTCTGTTTCGCCTTCAATGTGTTTGGTCTGGTTTCTGGTCACTTTGATGGAGCTGTGGTGAGAAGTTCCATAACACCTCTGCACAAAACAGAGACACACTAGGACTGGACAGATGCAAGATGTGCTCGTAATTTTCATTTTAAGATAGCTTTCCAGTTCACCGCGTCCTTCTTTCCTTGTCAGCTACAAATGCTTAGTGAGCATTCAAGAGAGGAGCCACAGCATCTTTGGAAAGGACAGTCCAAAGTAAATCGTTTTGTATGTCCATGATTTAACTGCCCATCGGGGAAAGGTCAGATTATATTTACATCCTGAAGCACTTTGAGAAACAGAGCTGTAGAGTTTCTTGATTCCAGTACTTTACAGCAGATGAATCCAAGTGATCATTTTCTACCTAATGGAAAGAGAGAAAATTGAATACATTATAAATAATATTAAACTTAACTATTTGCTCTAAATGCAAATCGTAATATTTTTCAGTGTGAGGCTGATAGGAAAAGAAAAAATATGTTCTTTCAGAAATGTCATTAATACATATGAAAATATTTTACAGTACTTCCTCCTTGTACTCTCAACTACATACATATATGCATACATCCATTCATATTTACAGTCTGATTTTTTATGATGTGGTAAAAGTAAAAGCTTTCCATGCTTTGGTATTATGTCACCGTAATTTGACTATATGTAATTCTAGCAGTTATGTAAAGGAAGAAGTAAAGGAGTTAGAAATGATGGCTAAAAACTGTAACATTAGCAACTTGAGAGGTAGAGAGCAAAGGATTGTAGTTTGAGACCATTCCTGGCATGAGTGGGTGTGGTGACACCCACTTTCCTCTCTAATCTCTGAGGAAGCACAGTGGATGTGTACAGTGAGGTCCACCTGACATTTCGATGACACAGGGGAGCACAGGTAGAAAGATCACAGTCCAACCCCAGCTGAGCATAAAACTAAAACATGCCTTGAAAATGATGAGTGGAAAAATTATTTGTCACAATGGCTCCAGTGATAGAGCATTTGCCTAGCAAGCATGATTCCCAGACTTCAACCCAAACCAACTTATCTCCAACACAGGCTGCATGGTTTCTCTCATTTGTGAGGCCCAGAATATGCCCATAAAACTGTAACTGAACACACTGGGTGGTAAGCAAGTGTTTATAAATGAATCAACTGAAGAATAATCTATTCCATTGAGAGTCCAAATAGCATAATTCTTCAGAAAGATTAAGTTGCAGCCCAACAACATAAGCACCAAGAAATGGGTATTGGCAGGAGAGGGGGTGAGGTCAGAGGAGGGGTGTAAAAGAATAAACACCTGAATAAGAGGGTGGCGGGGAAAGAGTACAGTCATGAATACAGTCATTGTGTACACCACATAATTAAGGAAATAAAGTGAGGAATGGGTCAACAGAGGGTGAATATTGAGGAGTGACACAGGCTAAGTCCATTTTATACATAAACTTCATTATTAAATGGCAAAAATGCATAAATATCCTATAAAATTAAGAAAAGTGAGGGAAGGAGTAAATTGGAAGGTTTGGGTGAGAATGTTGAAAACAATGCGTGATCAATATGCACTGCATTTGTAAACTGCTTTGTTCAATGGCACCTCCTGTACAACTACTTAAAGACAATGGAAACAGTTTTAAAAGAAACAGCAAAGGAATTAATTATGATTACGCTCTTGCTTTCAAGTGGCACAGAAATGTCAGATCTTCACACATTAAACAAAATCTTCAAATTTCCCCCCTTCCTCCCCAAAAAGGAAAGGGAAAAGAAAAGAATAAAGGAAAGTAATAGTGGCATAAGTGACAAAAGTAAAAAAAAAATGCTTTGAGTTTTAGATCAGAAATGCTGAAATCTGACTTAGGTTTTGTGCAATTGAATAATAAATTAAAATTGAGCACCATTTAGTATAAACAAGTAATAATTATTTTTGTATTAGTAACTCATTTAAAGCAATTTTTATAGCTTTGCTTAAATTTTATTTTCATTTTACATATATTTATAGTTTCAAAATATGGCATTTCATCTGATAAAGTTTTGGATGCAGAATTAGCCTTGAGCTGAAGAGCTAAGGGACGGCAGCCAGGTCCAGAACAAGGTAGGTGGACTTGGAAGCATAATTGATAGTATACTAATAGAGAGCAGGATTCTTTCTCCTATTTATTAAAGAATGTTTATATAATTAAGAATAGAAATCTTCTCCAATGACATCTTTCTCTATAACAAAGAGAAGTAATGATCCTCAGTCAATGACTCATCCTTAAGATCATCTTAATATTAGAATAATATGGCAATCATAACATTCAAGTATTTCAATATTTTGTAAAAGTACAGAAATGGTTTTAACTGAACTTAAAATGGTTCAAAATTATTTCTCACATGCATACAAAGCAATACCATTCATGTTCATTCCAACCAGGTTATAGGCAATGGAATCACCTAATTTTTTCAAGTTCAACATACATATTTACAGAGACTACATATCATAACTGCTTTCAATTTATTTTCCAGTAGACATAACAACACTTTGTTTGCATGATTTTATATTGATGTTTGTTTTCTCTTGCCAGTATATCCTAACTTTTCAAGCCAGGAATTTAAAAAATAAAATTTAATTTAGCCTTTCTTCTTAGAATCCAAGCTGTTGACTATGAAGAAGGTGTTGTTATCTTAATATTGAGCACCATTTAGTGTGATTTTTTTCAAATTGAATTAACATTTTGTCCTTGATGCTAATTTATTGCACAAAGCATAATTCATGAGTGAAAGGCTCCGAAAATTAAATTTAGAATGCATTGTAGATAATCAGAAAGAGACTTTTCTTCAACATGTTGCTCTTATGTGTCATGCTTAAACAACATAAATCAATGTTAAACTATATATGAATAATTGGTCTACCAACTATTAGGACAATTATGTCTGTGAATGGGTGTCATCACTGTGCTTCAAAAGATAGTTTCATTTACTTAGACAGATGTATAAACATAACTTCCTGTTTGGCTTCTAGAACGCTTTTCCCATAGTAGGAAAAACGGAAATGCCAACAATATTAAAATGAACGTATGTGTCAGGTTCAGCATTGGTAACAGAGTCCAACTGCTCAATGAAATGATGCAGGGATACTGAACTAACTTCACTAGTTCCTACATCTCCCCTAATCTGATCCTTAAGAATCCTCAGCAGTTTTTAAGTTGATGTTAGGTGAAATGAACCCTAAGGTAAGTATTCAAATGTTTTTTCTTCCATGAGATTATTTCTAACATATTTATAAGATGACTTCTTTGTTGCTTTGTATGTCCCTCCTCCACGGTATAACCCCTGCTTTCACTGTATTTGATGTTGGTATAATTTGTGGAGGGGAAGGGAAAAAACAAATTGTTTAAATAGGGATACAGGTGGACCCATTGCAACAATGAGATGTACAAGTCATTATGTTGAAAAACGAACTTTAAAACTTTGGCGGGGGTGGGGCGGGAGGTGGAGGTGGGAGATGGGAAGGGATAGGAAGGGGAAACAAAGGAGGAGGCAACAACGTAATTGTAACCCCTCTGTACAGTATTTTCACAATAAAAAATTTAAAAAAGAAATGTACTCATTATCTTGCCCATGTAATTGTAAGCCCTCTATACGGTATTTTCACAATAAAAAAAAAATCTTGGAATAAATGTATTTGCAGACTCCATGGCCAATTTGATTTTTGGTGCTTCAAAGCAGAAAGTTCCTCTGATAAAAACATGACTATCATAATATTCCAAAAAGATAGTTTTCCAAAATTGAAGTATATAAATAATGTGTAACAGTGACTGCTTCCTTCTATGCAGTACATAGTGACCCACCATTATTTCTGGAGATATATGTCTGGTGTGTAGAATTCACTTACTTTTCATTACTAATAGTTTGTTTTATTTCACTAAATTAACTTTAAGATACATTAACCAACATTTTTAAAATTTATTTTTAATAAGTATATAATTTCCAAATTTTAAATGTATATGTATATTACTTTTGCTGAGTAACTCAACTGAATCAGTATTCATTAATAGCTTCTTGTATAGGCATTACTTTAAGATGAGAGGAGCTGGGTGTTGATTCATGCTTGTAATGCTAGCTACTCTGGAAGCTTAGATATGCAGGACTGCAGTTTGAACCCAGCCAAGGCAGGAAAGTCTATGAGACACTTACTTCCCATCAAGTACTGAGAAACATTAAAAGCCAGAATTTGAGCTGTGGTTCAAGTGGTAGAGAACTAATCATGCACAAAAGAATCTCAGGAGCAGCAGTCAGGACCTGAGTGCAAGCCCAAAGACAGGCACCAAAAACTAAAGCTAAGATTAAAAAAAAAAGAGAGAGAGAGAAGTGGAGAAACCCCAATCTCAACACGGAGTTTTCGCACATTGACTCAGCAGTAGTATTACTTGCTCCTCTCACTGGCTCTGTTTAACCAACTTGTGTGTGTGTGTGTGCGTGTGTGTGTGCGCTTGTTCCCAAGCTTGAACTCAGGGCCTGGTCACTGTCCTTTAACATTATTGCACAAGCCCAACACTCTAGTAAATGAGCTATTTCTCCACTGGAAGATTTGTGTTGTTTAATTGGAGATAAGAGTCTCACAGACTTTTTCTGCCCAAGCTGGCTTTAAATCCTGCTCCTTAGAACTCACGCTCCTGGATACCTAGGATTACAGGTATGGGCCAACAGCACCTGGCCTTAACTAACTGATTCTTAATGTACAACTCTGAGGATATTTTGTTTGATTTTTAAGATGTTCTATTTGTCTTTGAACTGGTGTTGAAAGTTTGTTTTTGCAAAAATAAAGGTTTTATCATTTTTTTCATCCTTATTATATTGATGACTCATTCTACATGTCAGAACTATGGTCTTAAATCTATTAGCCTACTTTTATGAACATGACTCACTTTGAAAACAGTGATACTTCTTTTTGTGTTGTTGTTGGTCATGGGGCTTGAATTCTGGGCCTGGGTGTTGTCCCTCAGCTATTTAGCTTAAGGCTAGCACTCTACCACTTGAGCCATAGTGCCACTTCCAGTTTTCTGCTGGCTTATTGGAGATACTTTACTGCCTGGGCTGCCTTTGAACCACAATCCTCATATCCCAGCCTTCTGAGTAGCTAGGATTACAGGCATGAGCAACTGGTGCCAGGCGGGACTTAACTTCTTCCATGATAAATTCTTTGAAAACCATCATACAGTCAGGCAGACTGAAATGGAAGAAGTTTATATTATCTTTGAATTTCAATAGACAATTTAAGATTTTTCATACATTCCAAAAATATTTATAATCCTCACATTATGTTGCTACAATTCCGACTTTAAATTATGATTTTGATAAAATGTCCTCAACAGAAAAAAAGATTC